CAGTGATTCTACAGTTTGCAAGTGATGCACTTTATGGTGTTAGTTCTGTTGCGTTCCTGACATTTCTCACCCTTCTATCATGGGATGCTAAATACATCGAACACTGTTAATTATCCAAAATTTTAAGGCTACATTGTAATTTGAATTTATTAAGGCAAGACAGGGGTTCCAAGTAGCCTTTGAGGCAGAGAGTGATTAAGATGTATTGAAAATGAGAAGAGGGGCTGAGAGGAAGGGGTTGAAGGTCTACAAAGAGCACATATACATGCACCAAAATTATCTAGCCAGCAGGGTGGGGGTTTGGAGGCTGGGGATCATCCTGATCTGCATATAAACACTTGGGGTGGTAAAAGGAATCACAGAGACATACAGTCTCCTGGGAGACTACTTCAGACAGAAACTGCAAACATGAAAGCCCTGTTTAGAGGTCTGGCAGGACTACTGATGACCTGACACATGGAGCACCATGGTTTTTCCCAGCATCTGAGCCCAAACCTGCAACATGCCCTCAGTCAAGAGAGGGGGAACAGACACTGCATATGTAGCAAAGATGAAGTAGGATGCGGTCATGGAGAACATGATAGAAATGAGAGAGTCTAAATGGAGAAACAGCAGTAGCACAGATTACACATGGGCACTTCCAGCCTACATGAAGTATCGTACAAAGGTGACAGAGTTCTTGACAATCAATATATTTATTAAAGTTTCATGTACTGTTGACTGGCAAATGCCCAAAGCAATTCCTCTCCTAGTTACCTCTCTGTGTGTAATAACAGCTAAGCAGGCAAAATTTTAACACCCCCAAACAAAAGCTTTTCTGAAGTGAAGCTTGAAGTGAAAAATGCCCACTGATAATTCAGGACAGATTATACCACAACAGTCACATAACTGGCATTAAAAATATACGTGCATTATTCAGAATAGAAATTGAAGTTGGAATTTCATACCATTCCACAATCTAAAATAACTTTGTGCATAGACAAACATGTAATCTCAGAATTCAGATTTAAGAAATATATAAGTAACCTAAACATTTCACTCCATGAAAAGAAGCATGGAGTTGTAATGGGATGCTCTGCCCTGTTGTGTAATGATATTGGGGTTATCAAAAACTTTACTTTTATTAAAACTTACACAAAAATACATAAAATGTGAAAGAATACAGTACACCAATAAAAGATACCATATTGGGAATGAAAAAAATTGTTCTATGAAAAATATCAGCAATATTAATAGTTTCCTCTGAAGATTAGGGGTTTTTGTCTTACTGGAAAATTGGTCTATCCATTTTTCAAACAGTCCCAACATTAAGGAGCCAGCATCTAGTTTGTAACCACAAAATTTTCCTTCTACAAGTTACATTACTAAAGAAACAAAGGCTCTTTTGGAAGGAACCTCCTATATGTCCATTAGAAAGTAACAGAGACCCAAAGCAGGGGACATAAGCCATACATGTTTGATTGTAGTTTAATAATAATTTCTGCTGACTGTTTTGCTTGACTTTCTGAAATAATGTAATTGTTTCTGGTTTAAAATAGGGTACATCAAAAACAACACAGAGGAAGCAGACATGGAGGGTATATAATTCTGATGATATATCTTTCATGCAAACAGTTTACCAATGTGGTCTATGTAATACTTCCCACAGATTTTGAAGTGTGGAATAGAATCTGCTTTCCATAATCTTTTGCCTCTGCTGGTAAACTGTGTGTCAGGGTATTTATCTTCTTTATTTTTCCAAGAAAAGTTATAACTGAAACCCAAGGACAACTGTGTCATCTGAACTGCATCAGTAATTCACATTCATGGCCTTTATGTTCTGGAACTCTGCTTGTGTCAAAGCAAGAAATCAGCATGAGATGACTAGTGGAAGCAGGACACTTTCTTCTTAATCTCAGGCAGCTAATACTTTGTTATACCCAAAATATCTTTTTATCCAGTTGTAGCTCACCTCTGCTTGAAAAACAGGAGGGGGGAGAGAAGCTATTTCTGTTCAGGAACAAGCTCACATTCATGACAGGATAAACCTGTCGTTATGCTCTCTGAATCCATACAGCGTTTTAAAGAGAAAGTCAAGTATTTTACTGAAAAAGATATTTCCACCTTTGTTTAGAGCTACACTGCCCTCTGGTAGAAATACAGGCCTGGCACCCTCACATTAGGATCACTGGCTTGTAAAACCAGCTTGCTTTCTTTCAAATGACGAAGGGCTCGAGTTCTTCCTCCACCAGACAAGCTGCAAAAGAAAAAAGCTGGTAATGATCTTCACTCGCCTCATGTCAGGAGGCATCCGGTCGTTTTCCACTGACAAAATGGAGTAGGAGGAACCCCTCTCAACCAGTGAAGGGGAATTACTTTCCCCTTTGCATCTGTCACATTGCTTGCCAGGTACAGAGCAGAATTTTCAGAGAAGTGGGGCATCCGCAGCACCTGCTGGCTTGCTGTGGATGTGTGTCCAGATTCCTTGAAAATCGTATCTTAATGTTTTCTGTCACTGGCTACAAGGTCTTAAAGAGCCTGCTGTATTACCAGAGCTGAAGGACAGTCTTGGGATGCTCCTGCACATTATTCAAAGACCTTGGGAGCGCTACACAAAAGTATGAAGAGCTATACCTACCTGCTCTTCAGCTACAACACGTTCATATACAAGAAGTATAGCTCTGCTTTTACTGAAGGCTGAGAAGAGGCATGCACTGTCTTCCAAGATCACATTTCTACACTATAATCCAAATACTGAGCCTGCAGGGGGACAAGCGATACCTGCCTTCTGGCCACTTACCTCTCTCCGTATACATCTCTGTTCTGAGCCTGCTGCATTGCTCTGCTCTTAACCATAAAACTCTTCAATTCTTTGCCTGGTTACAACATCCTATACTACACAGACCTCCTGTTCCCCTGTGAGTTTTCAACCTGACACTGCCTTGACACCCAAATGCCAGAAGATTTTTATTCACAAAGCTTTAATCACGTTTCCCATTCTTACTTACAAAATACTTCTTTTCCCTCTTGCTATTGCTGTCATTTGACAGTCAAGCCTTTTACTGGTTACAACCATAGATCTCTTTTGAGAGACAGCCTTTTTGACAGCACTGTCAAACTGCTTTATTGCTGTCACCTGCTGGGCAAGTGTGACTTGATATGACTTGTCTTATTCCTAAACCAGGCTAAAGCTTTAAATAAGCGCCCCATATCAGCAGTAAGGAAGGAAATATATGATGGAGCTACTGCAAGGAGGAGATTTGGTTTCTTTTGGTTGGGCTGGTTGTAAGCCCTGCACCTCTGCCTGTTCACAAGCAGAAAGAGATGGTATATGTACAATTTTCAGATAGCCTCCAGTTTCAAAAGGTACAGTTACTCACTGAAAAGGGTTGCAGAGGTAGACACTGGCAAAAAGCATGCCAGAGCAACAAAGTCTGCCAACTTAAAACAACATCCTCCAAACAGCTGCTTTGGTGAGCAATTAGAAGCACAGCTCTCTAATTCTCTGTCTCATGCCATACTTATTTGCCTTCCAACACCAGAGCACATTTAATCTTGCAGATTTTCTGTGAGCCAAGTCTGGGATATTAACAGCAAGTGTCCTTCCTTTGTGACAACAGAGATGTGAAACAGCTTACTGCTAAAGATGCAAATATCTGTGACTTTTACACATGAGCAACTTTTCTTTATAGTAGTTTACATGCTGCAACAACTCATTCATATAGTGACATGTAAATAACAGCAGGGAAAGAAGCAGCTAAGACTTAAAATTTTCATGAAGCTGGCTGCAGTCACTCAGACACTGGTATGACAGCTTTACAGGGTTTTGTACAACTTTACTGTGGTAAATATAACAGGATGAAATTAAGGAAAGGATCCAGGCAGAATATCAGGCAGACACAAATGGAGAGAAATAAAGTAGTCTTCCTGAGAGCTGTGATGAAATCCTTACCAAGTGGGGTTTTGAACTGGTTTGGGAGAAACACTGGTAAATCTTCTGTGGGAGCAGGTTTTTTCCTGAAGCTTTTTTGATGTAACTGTCCTCTAGCAGCACCTCCATGGCTATAGGTTTACAGCTTTGCCCTCAGCTCTCCTCCCTGAAGACAAGATGTGCTGTGTAGCTTTGATCAGTTTTCATAGCAGCCTGTTATGATTTCCTGGTCAGAGAGTGACTTAAATCATGTCTGGAAGACATTAACTCCTTCATAGAGGATGGTAGCAGAGAAGGAATCAAGACCTCCTGCCCACACAGGCAGTACTGGCAAATCAATCCTAAACAAAATGCACACCACCACCACAACAGTTCTTAGTCCTAAGCTTTCAGAAATCTTTTTTTATTTCTTGTTTAGTGCTAAGGAAACCCCAAGACTCAATCAGAAGTGATGGAACTTCAACTTGTAATCACTGACAAAAAATCTTCTGGTCTGAAATTCACATGGCAGCCTAGTGAAGCATTTTTCACTGTTGACCTCAAGCTGAGCAGCCACTTGTGCTAGGCAGACAGAAATGCAGATCTGGGAGTTCAGTATTGCTCCCCAGAAAAATGAAATAACAATCACCGATGCAAACTGCTTGAAGCATCTTCTGAGGGCAGATAACCTTTAACCTGCACACAAGAACAGCAGTTCTGAAAACCACACACATCTAAATCTGATTTTGTGCATATTGGGAAAGGTGGAAATAAAGATTTTTGTACAAGATTTGTTTTGCAGTTATAAAATACAGAAACTAGACTGCTGGTAGTGTTCTGATGTTTTAGACTAAGGTTTTTTTTCTGACTTGTAAAGTCAGGATTTACCCATGAACAGCAGGAAAAAGTACATTAGATGAAGCAAGGGGTTGAGTAATCAAATGTAATGCAAAATGGCCAATATGGCCTGAGGAATACTGAAAATGTCCTAATGATCACTTGCTCACCTAGCACAGAAAACACACCCAATAGACAAACAAAAATTGGTTGTTCGTGCTATGGCCCAGCCTGAGCATGCTGGTAAGAGTGAAAGCAGTAAAGAATACTTGGCTGTGTTCCCACAGCAGCTTTATTGAGTATGTAGATACATGAACCATCATTTGCCTAAAAGCAGAAGGTTCGGGTCTTTTTATGGCAATTTCCTTTTTTGACATGAGTTCTAGGAAACTGGGATGAGTTGTCCTATTGCACTAAGCAAAACATACCTTGTGTTTCCAGAGGTTGCTTTTCAGTGGAAATACCAGCATTCACTTTATAGGATTCTTTAACATTTTCAACTTATGATTGTAATAAGGGCAACTTCAACCAGTCAATAGAAGTCCACCTTAATGCAACAGTGACTCTACCCAGTCCTTTAGGTACATAATAGCAGGAGTCTGGAACCAGAAAAGCTATTGAGTTTGATCCAAGTTCTTTTCCATTCCAGCCTCAGAAAAGGAAGCCAAACCAAATTTTATGCTCCAATCCAGATAACAAACTATTTCACTTTGACTTGAATTATATAAAGGTGTTTTTTCAGATTTTTGCCCCAGGGAACTTTCAGAATAGCCTAAACCAATGTGTTTCTGCAGTCAAAGAAGAAAAAAAGTACTTGGGGCTGTCACCTAGGGTAGAATACAGGAGATGTACAACATACAGACAACACTCTAAGACAAACCCTTTACCAGCCCAAATATTCACATAACCCTACAAGAATAAAATTATATTATTATAATTAAAAGCTAATTTAAGGAATGTACAGTATTTACAGCCATGAAAATTACACAGAAGATACTAAGTAATAGGAGAACAAAGTGAAGGGAAGTAAGGACAGAGCTAGGAGGAGGTTCCCAGGTTCTTTCCTATTGTACATAACTGAGGAGTGTATCCATTTCGTCTGATACCTTGAGTAGCAAATGCCATTCAGGGTCTACATAGGTGTTCCCTTGATAACCTCTCTCCAGGAACCTCTCTCTAGCACGAGGTTAGAGAGCTTCTATCTTATTCCACATAAAACCTATTGCAACATATAAAGGGAGCTCATAGCAGCCAATGGGCCTGTCTCCCAGCTTAGCAGGAGTCAATAATGCCCTGTGTTACCATGCATTTGGTATTTAGTCAAAAGCAGTCTTCCTAGACTACATGAACAGATCTCAGAAGAGTAGAGTGCTTTCTGTAATATCAGAACAAGCCAAATTCAGTCCTCAGGCCAGTTTACTTCAGTTCAGGTATAAGATGAGACCAACTAATATCTGTTCCTAAGTGTTCATCCTCAAGACCAGGAAAGCTGATATCTAGGAGAATTTTGCTCAGGCTGTCATTCATGGTATCAAGGATAAGGCCTTCCATGAGTGAACGGTTTTCAGTAAAGCCAGAAGCTGGCAGTTCAACAGATAATTGCTTGGTAGACTCATGCGTAAAAGATGGAGAGCTTGTAATGGGGATATGCACCATGTCACTGGATTCTGTATTGAGCAGTTCCCGAGGGGACTCAAAGAGGGGATTTTTAAGAGGTGTGGTGTTAAAACCAAGCAAGTCCTGGTTCTCCCGGAGGGGGGTGAATGGCAATTGAAGGGTTCTCACTGGACTGAAGTCCAGCTCGTGACTTTCCTTGGTTAAGGATGCTGGCTTCCAGGGGTCAAGGCCCCCTAGTGGGGGGGTAGCTGCTGAGACTTTGCTGGGAGTAGAAGAAATGGGCAATTTGCTGAACATCTCTTTGACTGGTGTTTTAAAAGGCCCCTCTTCCCCCTGTGAGCAGCTGAGCTGTGATGCATTCTCAAGAGGCTGGCTTTCCTGCAGGAAGGGGTGGTCTGCCCCTAACCGAAAACGGTCAAAGCCATTGCTTTCTGGCAAAACAAGGACAGGCTCTTCTGAGCAAGGCAATGCTAGGCGTTGTTTCCTTCTGGATCTGCTCATTTCCCGCCTTTCCCGTCTCTTTATAACTAAAGTGTCAGAAACAGTCTTAGATGGTGACTTCAGTAGGGTAAATTGTTTCTTCTCCTTTGTGGATGAGACTGGGAGTAACAAGCCTGGGTCTTCCTTTACTGTTAGGGTTGAAGCAAATGGGGACAGCCAGTCATCCAGTTGAGAGCCTTCTTCCTCATTAATACAGATGTTTTCAGTGAAAGAAGCTGATCCCCCATCAGGCTGGGAGCTGCTCTCCTTTAGGCAATGGGTTGGGGAAAATAAACCTTCATTACATTGACTTTCCTCCTTGACAGCAGCCATGGTTAGAGAAGATGACTCTTCTGTAGAGAGTGACATCTACAAAGAAACACAAGTGATATGCAGTCAGTAACCAAAGATCTAACCCACCCAAAATCCAAATGATAATGAAAAGAGACTACACTGCAAATAAATGCTCTTTCAGAAGAAGTTCCCTATGTTACATGTCTCTTCAGAGCTCTCAAAAATACGAATGTTTTAGGGTCAGAACAAGGCCGTTTCTTCTGTTCTTATTTTTCCACATCCAAGTAGTAGAAAAAATTGTCTTGAACAATCCACAGTCTTTGGCCCATAGAAAGCAAGGCTATAGTAAAGAAAAATAAGCAACCCCCTCCCACCCAATGCCCCCTCCTCCGAAAGAACCAAACCAAACCACCCTCAGAAAACAAGAAACCAACCTTTGGAGCAATGCACACACGCTTATTGCTTCCGAAAGTCTCTGAGCTGTTGATGGATGCTCCCTGTGCCATGGCTACAGAAGGCTGCAAGACAAGAGGCTGACTCAAAGGAAACTGGATCGGAACCAGGTAGGAGTTGATACGAGGAAGCAAAGGCTTCATCTTTCGGCCTGGAAGGGAAAGTAGACTTGCTAGCCTCTTGCCCTTCCTGTACTATCTGTTGAAACCCAGGCATCTAATAGGAAGTCCTTCTAAATACCCCAAAATAAATATCCAGAGGTAGGCTCACCTGCCTTCTCTGCTAAGTTTGAGGATACAAATTCCAAGCTGGAAGGCCTGATGAACAAGAAAGTAGTCCTTCATACAGACCATAGCCCTCAGGCTGGGGCAAGCTCTGCTTTCACTCCATTTGAGTACCCAACTCCCTTTATGTCCCCATCACATCCTCTCTCAAATACAGCAATACTGCCTTCAGCTCCAAACCTGAGAGTAGGAAGACTGAAAGCTGGTGAACCTGAATTACAATTTCCACGGTTATTCCTAAGGGAATCTGGGAGAGCACCCCAGATTTCTGAGACTGATTCTTTTTGGCCAACGATGATATAGACACTCACGTGCGTTTGGGGGTTCAGTTTTGCTACTGCTGTTGCTTCCCATGTTCTTCTGGGGATCTGGAAGATGTCTTTTTTGCTGCCGCAGTCATTGTGAAATAAGAAAGAGGAGAAGGAGAAGAGAAAGAGATTTAAAGAGAAAAATCCAATTTTATTCTGCTGCCTTACCCAGAACTGAGAATCCAGAAGCCTATGTTTCCCTAATACAGAGAGAGCAGCTGTTAACAACCAGCATTCATGCCAGCGCTAGCTCTGTGCCGCTTGCTGTTTTGCAGCCATGCCATCTCAAAGCCAGCTGCCAACCAAAAGCTGTGTAGAAAAAAAGATGGCATGACAGAGCTGCTCCAGCTGCAGACCCTACTGCAGAAGTGACCTGGTTTCAGTGTCCTCAGTGCCTGAGGAAAGGCAGATAGGGTAGCTTTATTGTATATTTGATTTCTGTACAAACCACAGACCAGATAGATGTTCAAGTGGAATAGCAGAGGCAACAGAGGAATGAGAAGTCTAAGCAGACAGAAAGAAGGCCAGGGCTGTAGCCGTGTCAGGAAAGTGTTCAGCTGCTTGCAAACCTGTCACTGTTAAAACTGCTGAATGCAAAAGAAAGTACAAACAGATTCCTTCCAAGAGTCACAATGCACCTGGGATACAAAATTAGAAAGGAGCACGAAGAGATCCTGTTCTTTCTGGGTCTGAACCCCCAAAGCAGATTGGGACTGCTGCTGCAGAGATGAGGGTTTTATCAGAAATCTCTATCTAGACTTGTTCTCTGAAGCCTGTTGGTACCCCCTGCAGCCTACATCTAGTTGCTCAAAGCTGTACAGCTCTATCAGCTGCAGAGACAGCATATAATCTGAAGGCAATTAACTTCTGGCTCAACTCCATTCCCCAAAGAGGGTGTGCATGGAGCTGTATGATTAGGTGCAGCAGTGACCTAGTCCCCCTCCCAAAGCTTCTTGTCCTTTCATTCAGTGATTGGCAAGAGCAGAATGGAAGCCCAAGCCCCAGGCCAGAGGGTAAGTCTTACTGATTCAGAATGCTCAGGCGATGTTGGTGACCGCAAGTCCAGCGGCTGGTGGCAGCAAGGCATTGAGGGGGAAGAAATAAGATGATGTTATCAACCAAAGGGGGAACAAATGAGACTTTTAAAACTTGTATTAGCTGAGCAAACAAGAATCAATCTATCTGCCCACCCACTGCAGAAAACACAGAAGCATTTAAACCTATACAAGACTCAGAAGCTCAGTTTCTCCCACAAAACAGTACTTCCTCAAATACCTATCTGGGATAGGGCAATTCTACCCTATTACTCTCTAATCAAACAGCATAGGAAACCCTACTTGATTTCAGTGGATAGCTTCTCACTAAGAATTTAAATCATTACATTTGGCACACCACCTGAAGAATAAATACATCCCACAGAAGTTCCAGATCACATGCACAGAGAAATGCACCTTTCCTTTCAATACAGAGCTTTTGTCTATTTATCAAGAGAAATGATTGAATCCAGCTTCTACAAGGCTGAAGTTGAAACAGTTTAACCTTCCTGTAAAAATAAGGTGTATCTGGATAGTGTGGCATTTAAGAACTAGATGGCTTTTCATTTCCTTTGCATGAGGCACTCACCTTAAATACCTGGTCCAGTGTTAGGCAACGGTTTGCATCAGGATGAATAGTCCAGAATGAAATTTTACCGTTAGCGGATGTTTCACGGACAAACATATCATGAAGGGACAGGTTGTGCCGAATGGAATTCTGGGGGGGGAAGAAGTGTGGGGGAGGTTGAAAAGTGGTAGTTCCATTATCAGCACAGCAAGGCTTACCTCAGCCCTGGCAGAGGGATTAGATTCCAAAGTGCAGGCAGCATGTACATTCATATTTACTGCATACCCAGCCAACCCTGTCATCAATCTCTTATTCTACTTACACTTGAGATCCCTATTCTTTCTCCAGTGATCAAACATCCCATCATCTTGCCTAAGTGGAATGAAAAAAGGGATACAAAAGTAGAACAGGGAACATCTGGAATGAGAGGGTACATGGGGTGGGGTGTTTAACATCCACTTTGCTCTGCAGGCTGGCTAACTCTTCATTTTCACTCAGAAAGCCTATAGAATACCACCCTGTGGCCCTGAGCAACTTGAAATCGTGCTTGTTACCTTCCAACCTGGCTTAGCCACATGTTTAAAATATGGGAAATGATCCTCAATCCAGGTATAGATGTCCTTTAGGGTCATACGCTTCTTCTCAGTGCTGTTGATGGCAAACTGGATCATGGCCATGTAGGAGTAAGGAGGTCGTTCTGATACTGAATCCTGCCATGAGGCAGCAGTAGCGGCAGGAATATCATCAGCAGCAGAATCTGCTTCACCCTGAGAGATGAAAGGAATGATACATTAGTGCTCAGAAAGTTGACAAAGAAGGGCCCTGGATCTTACAGGTTCTGTTATTCAAACCAGCAAATGACAAATTCAGGTTACTGAGAGATGGTAATACCTAGTTTTTGCAAGTCTTCTGATGCACATGGATTACTTCCCTATCAAAAGTTTTAGCACATGCTCTGTTGTCTTTGCCTACTTACCTTGACTGTTTCCTGCAGAGGCATCTGGTTCTCTTTCCCTGTGTCTTGCTTCACAGAACAGGGACTTAGCCCATCAGATTTCATCTTCCCCAGCCACTGGATGTTAGTGAGACTATTGTCCAACACAGAGCTCGTTGTCTTGCCTGTAGGGGTAACAAGCCCATAGCTCTGCTTACTCATAAAATAACCCTCTTTCCCCTTCATCTCAAGTGCCAAAAGAAAGGAAGTAGTCACACTTCTAGAAGATGTATGTGCACCTCAAGATAGTGACAAGATGGTATTGCAATTCTAATGTTTCTTGTGGAAGGAATTCAACCACCATTTTGTCTCTGTCTTGCCCAGAGAAGCTGTGGCTGCCCCATCCCTGGCAGCATTCAAGGCCAGGTTGGATGGAGCTTGGAGCAACCTGGTCTAGTGGAAGGTGTCCCTACCGTGGCAGGGGGTTGGAACTGGATGAGCTTTAGGGTCCCTTCAAATTCAAACTATTCTACAATTCTATGCTCCACCCCTGGCAGTGTTCAAGGCCAGGCTGGACAGAGCCTTGGGCCATATGGTCTAGTGAGGTGTCCCTGCCCATGGCAGGGGGTTTGGAACTAGGTGACCTTAAGGTCCTTTCCAAGCCTAGCTATTCTATGATTCTGTGACCTGCACAATTTCTGCAGCCTTAAAAACAAACATTCAAGCCAGTCTATTGCTCTCAACAAAACCAGGACAATATTGATCCAGTACATCAAGAATTCAAATATGTTTAGTTAATGGATGAATATAGTGAGCAGAGGCCAAGGTAAGTAGTGACAAACTCCAACTGAAAGCCCTAGCTCACAAGACCCAAACCAGAACTTTCAATGTCTCCAGGTCTTTGAAATGCATCAGTGAAAACTAGCAGTTCTGTCATTTCTGGTGAGGTTGGTTGTAGCAGCGCAGCTACTGCAGCCATCTATGGGTTTCTATCAGACAGTTATTATACTGTGGGATAAGGTTTACAACAGCCCAAAAGCTACATAGCTATCTTAAGTTGCAAATCCAAATGTGATCTGAGCAGTGTTTCAAAGTAAAATCCAACCCACTTCTAACATTTACTCAGCAGCTTCATGAGACAGCCCAGGGTGAAAGAGACTTGACAATTATTAAAGGATGGGAATCATCTCTTTTTCACAGCTCTAGGCCCGTATGTTTTGTCACTGACTAGGGTGCCCTATGTTAATCTTGAACACAGCCATAACCCTTTCGCTAGAAGAAACTTTTTTTCTAGACTTGACTTCCTCAAGCCATTTTTTTTCTGCCAACACTAAGATATCCACTAGGATCATTCACATTTCACTGCATATGCATAGCTATGTCGATTATTAGAATCAAGCCTATGCGATTTGGTAATTAGCAGAATAGTTCATGTTATTGCATACTGACATCCAAGCACTACACTCATTGGCCCACTTAACATCTCTTCATCTATCTGATAGGACCAAAAAAAGGGTTAAGATTACATACTGTTGCTCTCCTGTTCCTGTCCAGCCACAGAATCGATTCTTGAATGCCAGAGCATTGTCCCTCCTGCAAGACCAGGTGTCTGTGTAACATTCCTCTCTCTTTCTTGACCATCTGCTGCCTTAGTTACTGTACTGGGTTTCTTCTCTGATGAGAGATGCTGTGCTGGTGTTGGACCTGCTGAACGGGATGTGCTCCCACTGCTAATGAGAATGAATTTGTTGGGCCCATTGTTGCCACATTCTTTTCCTTTTGCCGTCAGTGCCTCTATGATGCTCTGGATATCCGCATCTGTAGGGATGGCCACCACTTGTGTGTTGGGCATGGTAGGATGGTCAATTATCTTTATTCCTGTTGGGAATTTCTGCAGGCCGTAGTCCATTTTGTCTCTGGGTTGGCTGTTGTGCTGGTCCTGCTGGCTGACCTCCTGCTTAGGAGTGTTTTCATCCTGGCCACTGTTCTCATCTCTTGCTGAGGTACTGGGCACATCATTCTGTGGAAGGGTCAGTTTCCGTCTTTTCAGAATTAAAGGCCTGCGAGGGCTGGTCCTCATCATTGACTTCTACAGTCACTCTCCATTGAAAGGGATGAGAACAAATCCTGCAAAACAAAAGATATCACATATGAGTGCAGGGGGCAGGAACAGTTGGGAGAGGTGCAGCAAATCACGCAGAGCTCCTCACACAGAGCACGTTTTCAGCAATTGCTCCAAAGCTAGCAACAAGGGAGGAAAATAACAATAATAAAAAAAAGCGCATTTAATAAGACTGAAAAGGCTCCTGGAAAACAGCACTGTACTTCCTTTGTCCACACCTTGTGGTGATCTCAGGAGAGATATTTGCAGAGTAGATAATTTGCATCAAAAGTTGGAAGCCACAGAGTACATCTAATGAGGGAAATACACATATGTGCTTTACAGAAAGAGAGACTAAGACTTAGGAAGGTGTAACATAGAAATAGTAATCCCAATTCTTATATTTCATTGCTTTAACCAGATTACATGACCTTAACGAAAAGGGAATTTAACAGATAATTTAAGATCTGGGAAGCAAAGGCTGTCCCAAATACTACAAAAGCACACAATAAATGCAGCAGGAGTCAGGTGCTTTAAAATAAATGTAAAGTAAATGCTTTAGTTATTCTTTCTGTAGAATTGTCAAGAACCACATGATTTTTTCACTGGGCATCATACAGTTTAAATGTTACACTTTTGGACAGCAAACGGTTTAGATTATAAACCTGAGAAGAAAAAATTTAGAGATACTGCATTCATGGTAAGATGCAGCATGTCCCTTCTGAGAACACCACTTAACAAATATCATGCAATTCAAGAAACAAATAGAGGCTGACTCCTGCAGCAAAATATACCAGGACAAGAATATACAAATAATATTTATATATGCTAGGCAGAATAGAAACAAAAAATATCTTTTGTATTAGTAGATTTGACCGTGCCAGCGAACAAACACGAAAATTCTTAGTATAGATAACCTACATACACACAAACAAGAAAGTTCGACAAAAGAACGCTGAGCTGTTGATGCCCTGTGTGCAGGGAGCAGGCATCCCTGTAATCAGGGTCTGCCCAGCAGCCAGAGTCCCCAAATAGAGACGCTCAGGCACGTACATGGCCCTTTGCGGTCTGCTTCATTCCCTCAAAAGAGAGATCCCCGTAAGATAACGACAGAAGAATAACCTTTAGATTGCATTCTCTACGGGAGCGAGCCATTTCTCCGTAAGGCCTCGAGCTGCTACCACCGGTATAGGCCCGGGAGCAACCCCTATATACACGGCCCCGAAGGTGGTAGAGGGATAAGTACTAAAGGCCGCCCAGCTTCTCCTTCATCCACACCAGCCCTGCCACCCTCGCCGATAAGTCCGTCTGCCCCACACCAGAGCCCCTTCGCCCCGGCCCGACCCCAGGCCTGGGCCTGGCCTAAGCCTTTCCACCTCCCAGCTGCCCTGCGCTGTTAGTGCGGCTCTCGTGGGGTTGCCGGCCCTGCGCCCAGCCCCCCGGGGAGAGGCGGCGGGAAGAGGAAGGGAAGGAGGCGGCAGAAGGTGCTCAGCACAGGTCCCGACTCACCACCTCCCCGGGCAGGCAGCGGCGCTTCCGGGCTCTGGCACTCTCACAGCACACATCGGTTTGAATTTGGCGCCCAACCACGCGTAGGCATCACGTGCCGGCGTGGACCAATGAGACGTGGCAGGGGCGGGGCGGATAGGGCCTATCGGCGGCGGCGGCGGGGTATACGAATGCGCCGGGAGGCCTTCTCGCTCTCGCTCAAGGGATCCGCTCAGCCGGTGTTGCGGGCTCTGTGCCGGCAGAACCACCCCAGCAGGGGCGGTCATGGGAGCCGCGCTGCCTCGGGCCGGGAATCCTGCCTGGTGAGTGCCTGGCACCAGTCCCTGAGCAAGCGAGCGGGCAGTTAGCTGGGGCGCTGGTCGCGGGCCTTCTGAAGGGGCACGGAGTTTCACTGTTTAAAGGGTGTTACGGCCGTGTCTGGCTAGGGCGGTTCGCAGGACTCCCCGAGGAGGCTGTGCGTCTGGTAAGCAGTCAGGCTGCTGGAGTCTTGTGTTTTTGGTAAGAGAATGCATTTCTCAGAACATATTCTCTTTATTAAAATTCCTTGTCTTTACTAATCTGGTTTTGAATGGAAAATTAAATTTGCAATTCAGACTTATCCACCAGGTTAAAAATAACGCAAGATACAATAATACAGGAGTGAAACATCAAATGCATAGGCGTAGGTAGTTAGCAGCTACAAACTGAAAGACTTTTGGTTATCTTGCCCCTAGAGTATATCTTGGCATTACAAACCAGTTTGATGGATTAACATTGGGAAAAGGGGGGGAGGAGTTTCATTGACTTTCAATTCCTAAGCCATTTTTTGTTTGTGACTAAACTAGGTATTGAGCTAATGTGAAGATTGTCTTAATTTTCTTGATAGCTGACTTGACAAGGTTCAGTAGGTCAAACAATCTCATTCCTTTCTTTTGCTTCTTTCCCAGTGGTTTCAGTGACCTTGAAATTTCAGCGACCAAGCCTATTGTAAATACAGCTGGTTCTCTATTTCAGTATTTTAGGCAGGCCTCGTCATAGATGGATGCTTTTCAAATTACCTCTGAAGTATTTTCATGAAGAAAAATGACTATGTGAGTTTGCCTGTCTTGGGTAGTTAAAATATGTATTTTTGTAAGGAATTAACTTTTCCAGTAACATTGAGTCTGGCCCAAAGGCCAGTTCAGAACTCCTTTTGCAGCTGGGACACTTGTTTCGTTCACATCTGTGTCTCCCCCAGTGTATTTGGCTACATGAAGCTCTGGAGCATGTATCTATTCTGTGCATTTTTAAATTTATCAGAAATTCAACATAAGGTTCAAAAAGTGCTGATCGGAAAAAGTCTGCATAGAGATGTGTATGGCATACTGTTGCATGTATATTTTACTTTTGTTAAAAATTAGATCAAACAAGTATCTCTTCAAATCCATTTATTTGCCTTCTACAGGTTTGAGAACACTTTAGCATCTCCTTGTGTGCTTTTCTCTTTCTCCAGTTGGCATTAGCAAGCACCATGAGGTTTCGAAGTGGTTTTACCATACCTTTTGATGCCTCCGAAGAAGAAATGTACCAAGACCAGAAAGGCAGAGCTGGTATTCCTTGAGAGGCCGCGAGAGGGACCCGTCCATTGCTATGAAGCTCCGCTACATTCGGCTGAGAATCCAAGGCGTGTTCCTACAAAACCTGTAGACCAGAACACCTCTGCTGCCTGGGTTGGTATCGATTATCCTTCCCCTCGAGTCCCACAGCAGCAGTTTCTGTACGTCTCAACAGAAAGCTGTCTGTTCTGGATATTGAAAGTTAGTAGCGCTGACTTGAATTCATAGTAGCTGACTAAAACATAAAAAACTGCTTTTGGGTTGCTTCATATGCTAACTGCAGCCACTAAGGTTGTGGTTACTTGAAGGCATAAAACTGTGCAGTGTGTACTGGCTAATATGATTATGTGTCTTATGAAAAGCTAATTCTCATCAGGAAAATGCTGTTTTCTATGGCAACTGAAAACCTGGCATAATAAACATTGGGGGGGTATTTTTGTAATTGGCTTGCAGCTTGAAATAACTGCAGAACTGCAAATAGTGTTAAAGTACTAGGTGCTTTGTTTAAATCTGATATTGCCAAATTTAGAGAATCCAGGCTTTCTCTTCAGGTTTATTTATTCTAACCTGCCCTCTTTTCCATTCTGTGTTCTGAATAGTGTTTCTCTATACCACTCTTAGGATGAGCTCCTTTTCTTACTTGAAAAAGTATCTTGGGACTGTTCGAAGTATCCTAAGATACTCCTTATATCATGTAATGTAAAGTTTTGTTTTTTTTTCAAGCAAACAGGTGCTATAGAGACAGACTGTTCATATGCAGCAACAGTCATCACCTAGGGGAGCTCTGTTTAAGCATTATTGCTGCTTGACATTCTGCTCTTCACGAAGCAGGCTCAGGAAACATGGATTCAAACCTGCATGAAATGTTCTTTTGTTCCTAGTGACCTGGAGTTATTTTTGTGGTGGCTTAAACTTGTAGCAGAACATGTTCCATTTTTTCTCTTTTTTCTTTTTTTTTTTTTTGTAATATGCTTGAGGCAGCTAGCTCTATGACTGTTGAAACACTAAGTAAAATAAATGCTGTGAACAGGCTTTCTTGTTTGGAGGAACTGGAAATACCCACACCGGTACTTATCTCCTTGATTTTGAACATACAATGATTCTAAAATTTGTTTGGAGCTGTGAGCACTGAAACTGTTGGATATTTTCCAGTTGAAAATCCTGGTATGTTTGTGACTTCTTGAAGTATTCTCTGCAGAGTTTCTGTCAGCTTATTTCGGTGGCAACTGATTTTCTGTTCCTCTCTTCTTGATGTTGTCTAGGTTTTTCATATCTTCTTGACTCCTAGGCTCCTGCATTGGTAAAGCCTACCCTACATGTTGCCTAAACCCAGGAAGTCATATTCTCAAAGTCAGTGGCTCACCTATGTTCTTTTAAATATGTTCCAGGATACAACTATCAGGGAATCGTGCGTTCCTCTTCCTGCACAAAGGCTTTGCATTCAGACAGTACAGTTGTACAGTGGACAAGCACGATCCTGAATTAAATTTTACTTAGGGTTTTGGTTTGGTTTGTTTTTTGTGGGGTTTTTTGTTTGGGTTGTTTATTTGTTTTTTTTTTTTTTGTTTTGTTTTTTTCTGTGGTTTTGTCATGGGGTTTTTTTTGTTTTGTTTTGAGGGACTATGTAGTAACTTAGGAATGCTGGAAGGGATCTATAATTATTGTAGCTAGATTCCAGTTTGGTATACTCTAGGGAAAAACAAATTGCAAGAAAGGGAAGCTGACTCTTTTGTTGATACCCAGGAAAATAAAGACTTCTGTAATGGAAGAATTTTCAGGTTTTATATAAGAGTCTAGAATTAAAAAAATAATAATACAGATTTTGAGCTTCAACCTTTAGAAAGCTTTTTCTATAGAAAGCCAATTTTAGAAGCAGCTTTTGGATGATACAGAGATTAACTGTTGAAGTAAACAGGTTTTGGGGAATATTGTGAAAGTCACAGTAACATAACTAAAGTGATAGAGCTAAGTGGGCATCCTTTAAATCATTTTGTATTGCTTTCAGTTCAACCTCTACCTGTTCAGGAAGACTGAGGATGTAGTTTGCTGGATCTATTCAGAGTTATGCTGAACACAGAAAGAAACAGGATCCAGCTCTGAACTGTTTTTGAAACTTGCAGGGGTTACAGGAGTAGACACCAGTTAGAATGTTTTTTTTTTTAAATCCAAATCATTAAATCTTAAGTTGCCAGAGAATAGCTCACTTGCACCCCAAACACTTTTCAGAGAAGACTGGCAAACATGATGTTGAAGCTCAGCAGTATCTCCCGCTTAGTAGCTTGGTTAGTGACTGGCTTGCTTTGCTCACTTAATGAACACACTGGAAAAAGATGGGGTAAGTAGGGGAGTAGAATCAGGTTGGTATTCCTTTGTATGGAGAAAACTGTTGTGATTTTTTTTTTTCTTATTATATCTTTCCCTTCAGGTGTGTCCACAGTTTGAAACAACTACATCAGTGGCTTTGAAAGTATGCCAGAAGAAGCATCGTGGTCCTCACAAACCCCAGAATCACGATGCCAGCTACAGTTCACTTCATATAAGGGGAGCTTGTCGAAGAGCTACAGCCTGCAAATTTCCTCCTTTAACTTTTGAGAAGACAGAAGGTGCAGTCCACCCCTCAGATCATCCAAATCACTTGAGGAAACACAGGCAGCCCAAGGAAGGGACAGCAGCAAAAGCTAACATCCAGGTGAACAGTCTGGTGAACTGTACAGAAATACCCTTGTTACCCACTCCCCAGCCTGTGGAGCCAGAAGTCTGTAGTTCACCAGATGTAGAGACTGCACAGGTGCCTTCCATAAGTAACTGGAGGTGCAGCAGCACTCTGCCACAAAGTAGTAGCCATGCCTGGCATCCAGATAAAGAGCTGGCATTCGGTATTGACTCCTGTGAGGAGGGGGAGTTGGAGTCAACACCAGTACTGGTTACAGATACTCCTGAACATGAGTATGGAGTAAAGGTTACTTGGAGGCAGCGGCCTCTTATAATGAGGTATCTGCAGGACAGGGGGAAGCTGAGCGCTGCTGACACACTGGTGAAGACGAACCTCGAGCTCTCAAGGAGACAGAACAACGTCTGATTTGGCAGGAGCAGTAAACATGTGCAAAACCACGTCTGAATAGACTGTTAATTTCAAGGATGGAGAGGGGAGCTGATTTAAGCCAAGCCGTGTGGTACGGCTGGCTCATCCTCCTGAGAAATGCCACAGATGCGCGGGGGGTATCTTCGCGGTGGGGGTATGTTGGGCTGGGCTTCCTCAGGGAACTGGGTATGCCTTAAAGAGTTTTTGGCTGTACGCCGCTGCTTATCGTAGCTGTTAACTCGAGTCCCGTAGGTAGGCAGGACACGGTAGGGCCCGCCCCAACCGACACAGAAGGGGCGGGTCTGCGCTCCGCAGCTGCGCACGGGCGGGGCTCGTCCCTCCCCGCTGAGTGGCACCGTGGCCAATGGGCAGGTCGCGTGCTGCGCCTCCGGCCAATGGCGCCGCGCTTCAGTACCGAGTTCCGTTGCCACGGGTAGCGGTGAGAACGGGGTTGGGCGCGGTGGCAGGGGCCCCATAGTAACGGCGGGGCTCGGAATGGAGAGCGCAAGGGGCCGCGGTGGCCGCGCCGGCGGCAGGTGAGAAGGGCAGTGTTAGTGGGGCCCAGCGGAGCTATCTGCGGCCCGGCACCGCAGATCAGTGAGGGAGGTCCGGTTGCATCTTCCGACTGACGGGCAGGGTTTCAGGGTGGCGGTGTCTCCGGGAGCAAAAGGGCCGGGGATGCCCGGCTCTGCGCGCAGCTCTGCCCCACATGGCGTCAGCAGAAGCGCCCGGTGCCGAGCCGAGCCGAGCGGCTGCAGCGGGGCCTGTGTTCTGCCACAGCTGCTGCTAACTGCTGCGAGTGGGGTAGCGTCGGGTTGCTCGGCTGGGGGAGGGAGGAGGGGGTCGCTGCCCTGACAACACCCGAGTCCTGCGGGCAGCAGCGGTGTCTGACCCGCTCGGTTTAGGTGTTCGGCTCCAAACCGTTGGATTTCGTGTGTTGTTTGATTACGTGGAGACTGAACTGCTTTTGTGGGTTTCGGTCAAGTCTGCCTGTTTCTGGTGTAGCTGTGATGCATTTTTTGCAGTGCTGTGCTGCTCTTCTGTTCCTCGTGAAGGTCTTGGGGTACGTAGCCAGGTAACTCTGTGTGCTGTTGGGAGAAAAGAGGAAGAAGGGAAAGGAACTGTAAGCTTTGGGGAAGGTGTTCTGGAAAGAGATCATGCCTGTAGCACTGAAATAGCTCAAATCCGAAATTGAAGTGAAATGTGAGGATATAGGCAGGCAGTGAAAATTTTGACAGTATGATTGTAAAAAAATTACAGGAAAAATACCTTTTGTACCTCTGGTGTTTGGATAGGGAAAGGAGAAGCAAGTAAAGAGAGAAACCTAAACTTCGAGTAGTTCAATTGTAATGAGCATAGTGTAGAAAAGAAACAGTATTTACTTATGGCATACAGTTGGTAATTTTAATTGAGAGTGAAAAGGGGCAATAGAGTTAGAAAGGGGTCCTGTAATTGCTTTGCTCCATCAAATGCGTTGTGAAACATTAGAAGATGACTTCTTTATGCAGACTTTAAACGCTGAGGTTTGTATACTGTTCTGGAAACACCTGTTGAAAAACTGAAGACCAGATACACATAGATTTCCTTGCACAGCTATTAGAAGTTTAAGTTGAAGTTACAGGAAATGATGCTGCTTTACTTGTAACAACTGTACTATTATAATTTCTTTCTGCTAAGAAGCTTGTTTTGCATGCTTTTATGGTTGCCCCACAGAAAGAGTTTAACACCAACGGCAGTTCCATGTAGTAGTGCTTCCTTCCCACTCCCATTTTATTAAACAATCATAGAATCATAGAATAGTTAGGGTTGGAAAGGACCTTAAGATCGTCTAGTTCCAACCCCCCTGCCGTGGGCAGGGACACCTCACACTAAACCATGCCACCCAAGGCTCTGTCCAACCTGGCCTTGAACACCACCAGGACATTTACTTAAGTTTCTTGGTCTCTGTGGTTAAAGTAAGAGAACTAGAAAACATGAACCTAAATAAAGGTACAAAGTTTTTAAATAGATCCTTAAGGCCTCCTATTTTTAGGGGTCTGACTCTGAACTTAGAATGTTCAACAGCACTATTGTAATCTGCAGTAAGACAAAAATTGTATTCTTAAGAAGGATAGTCTTTTTCGGAGAAGAGAACAGTAAAATTATCCATAACTCATTAATTCAGTCATTGGAACTCTTGCTTGGCAAAATAATTATGAATTGTCCAAACAGTGGTTTGTGTAGATAAAAGAAATGTGATGCATAATAACTGGCAGTTCATAGCAATGAAGATACTACCTGTAAAGTCTAAAAATGCCACCTGAGCTGGAGTACCTTTACTATTGAACAATATGTAAAATACATATTATCTTACTATGGGAAAGAAGGGGGGGACTGAGCGAACGAGCTGCCTGACTCGTGAACCACGACAAAGATATAAAAAGTATTTTACTTCTAATAGACAAAGATGAAGCGAACAAGTCAACACTAAATGTGTATAGTTTTGTAAATGTGCTGTGAGATACCTGGTTGTGGGGAGACAGGTCTTGGCTGTAGGTCAGCCATCTCTGAAACAGATTGTCCCTTGAAACTGTGCCATTGTGTTAACCTGTCTCCTGTTTGAGGTGGCTGCAACTGAAATTGCAAGTTCATTTTAAAGTTTGATTGACTGTCAGGGAGACATGATATAACTGTCTTAATGCTTTAAAAAATGTAGGGTAGATAGTGCTATTTCATAGTTTTGATAAGTGCAATACCTTCTCTCCTCATTTGGGAAAGTCCATTTTGAGACTTTATATGAAATTAATAATGTTGAATACAGTAGAATCATTCAGATAAAAGTAATTCTAAATCATTGTAAGGTTTTAAAATATTGAGAAAGAAATTTGGTTCTTATGGTATTTTAGAATCTTGTAGGCTGATGAACTTCACTTTTTTGCACACTCATTATATGGTATACAGGAATACTTAAAGCTTCCCACATGCTGGCTTCCAAATGTGATTCAGCTTCTGACTTGCAGCTGTCATATATAAAAACCCATCATTTTCAAGGGGCAAAAATCTTGACTGAATCTATAGAGACTACAAACCTCGGTGTGAGTCACAGCAGTCCCTCATGTAAGTTGGATGCTTCTTTGGTGACTAGACATGCATTGGTTAGTGGTTTTCAGTTTGGGAACTCAGCAACTATAGAATATTTCCTCAGTGTCTGCAAAAGTTAATGAAGAAAAAGAGCGTGTTGCCAATAATAGTTCAGTTTTCAAAAGATTATGATCCTGTGCACTATTAAAGGTTCAAAAGTAATTTTATCTATTGCTGTCCAGCCAAAAGCCTTTTCCATGTTTCGAAAGTAGAGTAGTTGAAGTTGTCAGGAGTCTTGGTGGCTTGTGAGCTTGACTGTTTTATACAGATGGACCATAATTACAATTTGGGGTAAAAAAAAAGACAAAGTACTTTTCTAATGCTTTTAGCTGTACTTGTAATCCAGACAAGTTTAAATTTGTGTTTAAAAGCCTGTCAGCTCTTCTGTTAGCCTTGGGTATTTTTATTTGGCCACAGGTGACCTTGTTGCAACTAGCAAGCACTGTTTTGTAAATTCCAGGTTTTATAATTCTGCAAATTTTATTCTTAGATGAAAGGGAATTGGCTTAGTATCTTATTTGCTTCATCTGTTTCAAGTCTGAACATTATAACCAAGAAATCTGTCCAAAATGGCATATTGATAAAATGCAGATATTTTATAAATGTGGTTGAGATGTATTCTTAGGAGTAGAATTTCAAGAGAAAATGAAACGTTTTGTGACTGCAATTTGATGCCACTGCTGTCAGTGTTAATGAAAGAAGGAATCGCCTCACTTCCTATGGCGTAGATAGCAGTAGCAAGAGAGAAAAGGAAGCATCACTGTAGGTGTAACCTATCAACTAAAATTCCCAAATGCTCTTGGTAACTGCAGTTGTTAAACAGTGAAAGGCTTGTCTCAAAGTTGAACCTTGTTTGAATTGTTGATTCAGTTTCTGGTGAGTTCTTCCATCTCTTATGGAACTTAATTGACACAACCATTATTTTTCTCTTCAGCTGCCGTTTGTTTGTTTTCTTCTCTAGCCACTGTTGGCATGGCATCTGTAGGAGTGACCAGTGCCCTGATTTTAACAAAATTGTGACTTTGAATGTGCAAAAACTTTCTGCAACTAGACTTGCACCAGGATAGCTCCAGACTCTTGTTTTGTCACTGATGGACAGCTGGGTGATCTCCAACATAAAACCGATGATTGTGTTGTAATTGGGTCATGGGATTAATTCTCTTCCAAGTGCATTTGCTGATGTGCCAGTTGACTTGGACTACTGCAAGAACATTTAAACTTGCTCCTACTATTGTTTAAAACATACATTCTGTGGATTGTTAAGCTTTAACTGTGTGTTATTATTACAGAAGTGTGTGGTCACTTCTGCATTCCTTACCCATTTAGCATCCTTATGTGAAATCTGAGGCAGAAAAAGAAGAATCCAAGTCTAGCAGTGGTAAATTGCTGAGTCACCTGGTATGGTATGGAAATTAAATTTTGCTGTTTCTACCTCTTTGATGGCTTCCCCTTTCAATCCTTAAAAAATAAAATAATTTAAAAAAACCCAAAACCAATGTGGGACTAAAAGTCCACAATCAGTTCCAGGTGTCAGTTCAGAAAATGTTATTTATGTTCCTTCCCCCGTTTTAGTTTCAAAGACTATAAAACAAGTGTAAGTTTTGGCATGAAGTGAGATATTTCATGGAACTTTGAGTTTTGTTATCTAGTCCTGGTTAAGCATACTGTGTGCAGTCTAACTGCTGACTTTGTTGTTGGGAGAGAATGGCACCTGTTTTACATTTCACTGGTTTCATGTTGTAATGGGGTAGGAGGTCAGCAAAAGTAACAGGCAATGTAATTCACAAACAGAAGATCATAGGGGTCAGAATTCTAAGCCCCTGTGGATCTTGCTTTGTTCTTTCCTTCAGTAGAGCAATTTCTAGAAATGAAATGACCCTCGGGATTTGGATTGTGTAGTTGAGAGGTCATTACATAGAAAGCTGGTGTTCCACCTATGAAATAAACATCTCTTTCCACCCCCCCTTCCCTTTTTTTTTTTTTCTTTTTTTTTTATTTCCTTATCAGAAGCCTAAGTTTCAATAAATTCACCTGAATAAACAAGATTTTGGAAGTATAGCATTCTGCAGTTGTATTGGTTGTTAAGAGTTTTTACTCAAGGAGTCACCAGCTGTGCACTCCGGAAGCAATGTGCTGGTAGGAGATTCCTTGTGTCCCTTTCCTTGCAAATATTGTAATAAGAACCCAGTTTAAACCCCCCTGTTTGGCTACACACTTAAAGGTAAGTTTGTGCATATTCTTATGGTTGCCTTCCTCTGTGCCATCCTTCCAGCATCCATGGTGGCATTAACAGCAAATAGCCTGTGTGGATTTCTGGCTTCTCTTGGCCTTCCTTTCAGGAAAATAGTACTGCTTTCACTTGAAATATGTGGTAACAAATTACTTGAGACTTTTCTGGCTAAGGAAAACAGAATCT